TAATTATTTTGTAGTTTTTTTTTTTTTTACTGCTGATGCACATTTGAGCATTTGTTTTCAGGAACTATCCATGATGAACCCAAGATCTTTCTTGAGTGGAAACAGCTAATTTTGACCCATCATTTTGTATGTATAGTTGAGATAATATTTTTCAGTATGCATTATTTTTCACCTATGAACTTTGAATTTCATCTGCCATTTTGTTCCTCAGTCGCTCAGTATTGAGATCCTTTGTAAGCCTTCACAGGCAGCTTTGGACTTACAAAATTACTCAGGATGGCTATCATTTGCCACCTCACTTCACCCCTTTCCCAGATCATTGATGAATATGTTGAACAGCACTGGTCCCAATACTGCTATTCTTGGGGGATCCTGCTATTTACCTCTGTGCATTGTGAAAACTAACCATTTATTCCTACCCTTTGGTTTTTTTTGTCTTCTTTAACCAGTTATGATTCATGAGAGGATACTTCACGTTTAGCCCATGACTGCTTACTTTGCTTAAGAATCTTTGGTGGGGGACCTTATTAAAGGCTTTCTGAAAGCCCAAGTACATTATATCGACGAGATCACCCTTGTGCACATGCTCACTGACATCCTCAAAGAATTTTAATAGATTGTTGAAGCATGATTTCCCTTTACAAAAGCTGTGTTGACATTGTCCCAAGATACTGTGTTTATATGGGCCTGATAATTCTGTTTGCTATGGTTTCAACCAATTTGCCTGGTACTGAAATTAAGCTTACTGGCCTGTAATTTCCAGGATTGCCTCTGGGTGACTGGCTGATCATGTGATGCAGCTATTTTTTCCTGATGCTACATTTAAAGTAATTTTATTGAGGCAGCAACCTGAGGGTGACTCTTTGGGGTGTAACCCAGACCAGTAAGGGGTTGTCACCACCAGCCCTGTAACTCTGGATGCCTTCACCACCTGCCCTGTAACTCTCTGGATGCTATGCTGCTGTGGCTCGCAACTTTGACACAAACACACAAGTCACACCCTGGCTCCCACCACCCAGTTATTTATTGCAGGGTGACCCCAACACTCCCCCAGTTCTGAATCCCCCCAGATTATCTGCCCTGCAGTGTCCAGCTCTCTGCTGTAACACTCACAGAAGTTTTAAGTTCATTGCTCTTTTAAAAAAGACAATACATTACAGTTCATTAATTTAACTGGGGTTTGAACAAACACTTGTATTTCAGCCAGAGAACTGAAATGGTTCAGAGTAAAAGTGCAACAAACTTATTTAACAAAGAACATAGGATTAAGTGATACCAGGTATAAGGCATAAAGATAGAAAGGGTTACAAGCAAACAAAAGTAAAGATACACGTCTAAGACTAAAACTTACTTTCAACAAGTTATAATCTTTTGCCTAAGCAGATTTCTCACCTAAATTCAGTTCAGTCTTCAACCCCCTCCTTGCTGAAGGACCCAACAGTCTGTGATTGCAAGAGCTCTGGCCCCCTTGAATCCATCAAGTGTTGGATTCCAAAATGGCTTTCTGTTTCTGCTTATATCTGCCAAAGTTCATTGACCCTGTTACAAGAGGCAGGAAGACTTCCTGCTGTTCTTCCCTTCCTATTGACTTCCCATCCCCCTGCAGATTCATAAGTAAATAGGGCTTCCATTGTTTTGATTCCATAATGCTTAATTTATATTGGAGGAAGGTAGAGAGTTCCCTTCCCTCCTGTCTGAGGAAAACCGGTTTCTCCCTGGATTTTTTCAGACTTTAAAGCATAATATCAATGAGTACTCCTAATTACTCGTGTAGCATAAATGCACACATTTCACTATATTAATCACTAGTGTCACAGGCTTTCATAAATTCCCTTACTCGATACTCTTTTAATACAGTTGATTTCAATTGCTTATTACCTGGGTGTCCGACCGCTGTCTTCATAGTCCAGTAAACCTTTGGAAATATATTCTTTGAAAAGTAAGCCCAGACAAAGGGCTTCCTACATCTTGCCGGGATGTAGGTGCCATACTGTCTTCCCAAAGTTCATTGGCCCTGCTTCAGGAGGCCAGAAAACTCCTTGGGGGTGCAGTCTCCATCCCCTAGCCAAATTAAGTATTCATTTTTCAATGGCTTTGTTTACTTGCACATAAATGTACTTTTCTTTGTATTTAGTGATGCCTTTACATTGATTCCATTTGCTTGAATGTGTCTCCACATTCCTTGGCCTGAAAGAGGCATGATTTAGATACTACTTGACAAATATATTTTAAGAACACATTTGCAGCACATCTCTACAAAGTCCTTTTGTGGGCTTATCATGCATCCATCACACAATGATTTTTGGGACCAACATGTTACCAGTTTGTATATGATACCTTGCATGACACCTTGTAGATCCTGATTGACAACAGCACGTTAGATGTAGTGACCTTGACAGGCCTGACGAGAGTTGCTGACCAAGTAGTGAACCCCCAATGGGCCTTAGTCATGCTGGGTCATTAGTGTCTGCTTCCTAAACAGAGGAAGCTTCTTCTTTAAAAGTATGTACTGTTTCCCTTGAATTCAGTGGGATTTGGGTGCTCAGCACTTGTGAAAATCAGCCCACTTCTTTTAGGTTTAGGAGCCTAATTTTAGGCCATTAAATACTTTCCATGTAAGCAGCTGTTACATTTGCCTCAGGGAATGTTTGTGACTGTGAATGGGAAAGAATGGGAAAGAAGGTTGTCTCTGACTGTGAACACCTCCTATACATAATCTTGTTGTTGATGATATGTAGACTAGATCAAAGATGTGAACCCTGCAATAACGGTGCAAAGTCAGAAAGTTACTTTATTCTTCCCAAACTTCTAATCACTTTCAACAGGGATCTAGAGAGGAATCGATAGCATTTTAAGCTCACACCATTCAATTCTGGCATATCCACAAGTTTGAAAGATTGCATCGCTTTGAGACTTCCTTTGAAACAAGGATGACTTCAGTCGTGAACATGA